ATGCTGATGTGGAAGGTCACTGCATGCATAAGGTGGACAATAACATAGGCAGTTTCATTTGAAGCTTTTTATAAACCATTGATTCAAAAAATATTCATACATACATATGCAAAAGCAAAGGAATGTCCTAATGAGTAGGTTATTGGACAAAAAGTAAACCAATGCAAAAATTAAGATTGCCTGTGAAAGCTAATTTGGTACCTCATGTATAATACTGGTGGCAGCCAGTCCCCAAAGCCTTTGTGCTCATTCCCTTTTTGCAATTTTATCCCATTCACTAAACAAAGGAACAAATATGTTTAATTAAAAGTTTCATTCCTGCAGAAACCCATGCCCAGAAAGAGAACTTGGGAGCATTACTGGGCAATGGCAACAGAGTCAGTGCATCTATCTCTGATTTAACTACTCTCACTCTAGAATCCCATCTCAAAAATTCCTGGTTTTCACTATCTGTGACCCTATTTCCTAAATTTCTCGCCATTACTTAACTTCTCATCATCTCCTAGTTTTTCCTCTCATTGCTGCTGCTTTTCAGAGCAGAATTCAGCTGTTTTCTCAATTTCCTATTTGTTTTTACACTTTTCAGAAAGCCATTCCTGCAGTATGACTGATAATTAAATCTCTCCTTTGATTAAATGTATCTTTACCCCTCTCATAACGCTGGACAGTGCTGACTCCAAACACATCAACAGCTGCTGTGATTTTCAACATACCTAAAGGAAAGCCAGAGCAATCTCTGTGTTGGGAAGCTGGAGAGCTGTGTGGTGATGTAAGGAAAAGGATGAATCAGGTTTTGTCCAGTGAACAAAAGCATCACAGTTCTTTCCCAAGATCCCTTGCCAGTGGGGCATAATCTAGAATACAAAGAATCGAAGTAAATAAAATAAAAATCATTGGGCTGAATAGTGGCAGAAGAATAACAGTTGCATTCAGGAGGTGGAAAATCATATGGTACAAGGGAACAAGCCTCTGGTATTTATATCATCTTGCAGTGCCAGCATTCACTAAATAATCCTGAAAAACCTCCTGTAAGGAAACTACATAAATAATATTCTAACTTCCCCTTTACTGATAAAGCAGCTGAGACAGAGACTGTATTAGTAATAACCTGAAAATGTGCTTCACTTCAAACTGGAGACATTTCCAAGTCTCCAAGCGAGCTGCCAGCTCCTGGAGCATCACTGAACTCTGGGAATGTGGCACTCAGAGCTGTGCCCGGAGTGGCAGTGACTCAGAATCACAGGGAGCCCTCAAATGCTGCATTTCTGGGGCACAGGGATGGCAGTGCCCAGCACACCCCACTGCCTGCTCTGCTGCAGGCACTGTGAGCAGCAGGGCAGGAGGCTGCAAACACTTGGCTGGTATTGGACTTGCAGAGTTTGACATTCTCAGGCATCACTGCCTTTACCACCTGCTGAGAACAAATTATAAACCAGAGAAAGGGCACTGGGAAAAAGCAATAAAGTGTCATAGGATATCATAAAAAGAGGCGTTAGGGGAAAAGCAAAAAGCATAAAACAGACTAAGAATAAAATACACTGGTACCAAAATGTATTTTAAGGATTATTCTATTCTTAGTGGAGAATTTGGGCTCTGCTCTAGATTTTTTCCAAACATGGGTTCAGTTTAGAAGTGGGGTATAAAGGCTGGTGCATATGTGAGTTTTCTGAACCAAAAAGAAATTTGGAAAATAAAAGAAAACAAAACTTTTAAGATCTTGAAATCTGTGCTGTTGGCCCCTTCATAGGCTGCAGCACATTAACATCTGCACTGACTCACCCCCATTAAAGTCACTGAATAAACAAATATTTAGCACCTCTCAGCCCTGCAATGTCATCACCTTTTGCTTTTCAACACCTTCTTATCACAGAGATGTGATCTAATCTCTTAATTCTCAAAGCAACCTTTTGAGGTTTCCAGAGTTTTCAGCTTTGAATGACAATTTATTTCAAAGGACTCTTACCCAACATCTCCCAGAGCTGCTAGTGAGAATTTTGCTCTCTTATATGCAGCATGAACAGCAATTTAGGCGTGAGCTCCTGGGCTTCAGTACTTATGCAGAGGAGCATATTGCACAAAAGGATCAGAAATGCGTGATGTGAACAGGAGGCACGGGAAGGGAGCCAGCAGGCATCAATCTGACATGCAGCCACTTCTTTTATTTCACCCTGGAGCATCCCAGGATGTAGCAGTGCACATCAAGGTGAAAGGGAACGTGCATTTGCTTTCAAATTTTCCCACTGCTCTTCTTTCCTCCTTGCCCTGCTAATTTACCACAGTGCAAACCCAGAGAGCCCCACCATGAAACACCTTCCTCAGTATGAAGATTGTGCTGTTTGGACTTTGAATTTTAATTACACGGTTTTAGTCAAATTACCACTTTGCATTTAGTAACATTAGGATTGAGCACCACCATGTGTTTCACAGATAAATAAAATGATGTATTTATCTGCACCACGTGAATCTTGTCAGGATCAGAGCATCTTTTGAGGATCCCAAAACACCAGCATCAGACCAGAAATTAAATATGCATTCTTGTACTTTTTCATATACCTCCTCAAACAAAAAACAAAACCAAACCCAAAATCCTACTGCGTCCTTTTCAAGAGAGCTTCCTAAAGGCCAACCAGAAAAGAACAAAATATATTTTTAACAGAATTGCAAATACAGAGATGATCACACTGGATGTCATCTTTGCAGCCTGAATTTTAAGCAGGCCTGGAGGGTGCATATTTTCATGACAGGGTGTGACTTTAATTACCAATTTCAGTTTTGGAAGCTTTCCAGCACTATTGTAACATGCTGCCTCTGTGCAGAGGACAACTGTGTGTCATTCAAGCAAAAAGCAAGCCCTTGGTGACTGGGATACAAGCAGAGTGACTGGTTTTATGTGGATTTAGGTGCAGTCAGAAACTAAACTTGACAAGAACAGTCCTTACAATGGTTTCTCATTTGTACCACTCTTCTAGAAACAAAAGTGGTGTTTTTATACTAAAACTTCAATACAGAACAAACTGAAAGTACATATCCAGGCAGGAAATACAATAAATTAATGTCCTCTCAGGAAAGAGATCAGGCTTCTACACAGTTTTTGCTTATACTGCCTTTCTCTGCTGAGATTCCCTTAGAGCAGGAATGGCTCTTGCAAGTTGCAGCAAGAAACTTCTACTCCCTGTATTGCTGTTTACCTCTGCTCTTTTGTTCCCTTCCCTACTTATTACCAAGTTAAACAGGAAAAAATATCTAACCTCTCAATACTGCAAGACATAAGGTACTGGAGGACTGCAACCTTCACTTCCTTCCTCAAATTTAACACCACCTCTACTGACACCAAGCTGAACCAGTCTCTGTCACCTCCACGTGATTTCACATAAGAAACCACACTTTACCACAGATAATGTTCTTCCCTATAAACTATTTCTGCAAAGCAGAACCGCTTTGCAGAAAAAGGTCACTTTGTGGCAAGTCTATTTTTTCCTTCTACATCTGTTGCCTGAGCACAGAACCACTGCAGTTGAAGGCAGTTCCCAAGAACCCCAACAGGAATCAAGAAGTGTCAACAGACACCAAATGTGCCTGTAGAGTCAGCTTTAGGAGCAAAGAGAGTTTTGAGTCATAGAATCACAGAATGGTTTGGCTTGGAAGGGACCTTAAGAGTAATTTCCTTCCAAACCCCCAGATATGGGAAGACACCTTCCCCCGGACCAGGCTGCTCAGAGCTCCATCCAGTCTGGTCCTGGACACTCCCAGGGATGGGACAGACACAGCTTCTCTGGAAAACCTGTTCCAGAGCCTCACTACCCTCACAGAAAATAATTTCTTGCTAATATCCAATCTAAACCCACTGTCTTTCAGTTTGAAACCAATTCCCCTTGTCCTATCTCTCCAGGCCACCATAAAGAGTCTCTCTCCAGCTTTCTTGTCATCTCCCTTCAGGTCCTGGAAGGCTGCAATTAGGTGGCCCTGAAACCTTCCCTTCTCCAAGCTGAACAAATCCCAACTCTCGCAGCCTTTCCTCCCAGCAGAGCTGCTCCATCCCTCTGATCATCCTGGTGCCTCCTCTGCACTCACTCCAGCAGCTCCACGTCCTTCCTGTGCTGGGACCCCAGAATTGGGGGCAGCTCCGCAGGGTCTCAGATCCCTGGGCACAGAACAATATGAATAAACAAAAGGTAACAGACAATAAACTCCTTTCACAGCCGGCAGTGTAAGACACACTCATGCCAGCAGCTGCCCGTGCTAGAGCCGCCTCTCCGACCTCCCCGGAGAGAGGCCTCAGGCGGGCGCTGAGGTGGCGAGGGCTCCGCAGTGCCGGCCGCGGCGTTCCCTGCCGGTCGGCTGCGTGAGCCCGCCGGAGCAGCCCCGCGGAGCTCCTGTTCCCCCGCCCGGGGCCCGACCCGCAGCGCTGCCCGCCCTCGCCCGGCGCTGCCCGGGCCCCGCTCGGGGCCGGCGGTTCCCCCGGGCCGGCCCCGCGCACATCCGGGCCCCTCCCGCTTCCGCCGCGCGCCAGTTCCGCTTCCTGCGCGGCGGAGCGGGGACGGAGCCGGTCCCGCTGCCGGGGTGAGCGCCCGCTCCGCGCTGCCAGGGCGGGGGCGGATCGGCGGCCCCGCACAGCCCGGTGGGTGCGGCGGGGGCCGGGGGGAGGCCGGGCAGGGCCGGGGGGCCGGGGGCGGGCGGGTGTCGCGGCCGGGCCGGTGCCCCCGCGGGGCGGGAGCGGCTCCGCAGCCCCGCGGCCGCCGCAGCCCCGAGCGGGCGCTCCCGGCCGGGCCGCGCCGCTGCCGGGGCAGCCTCGGCGGGGCAGGAGAGCCCCGCTGGCACCGAGCAGCTGCCGGCCCCGATCCCCGTCCCGCACCTGTCACGGTGCTGTGGGAAGGGCGGCCCGAGCGCTCCGCGGGCGCCTGGGGTGGTTTGGGGGGTTCGGGTTTATGGTGCTTAGCGGAACACAGAGATGTGGATGCCTGTCTTCGGAATAGTCCCAGGAAAGTGCTGTAGTGCTGCAATTTAACAGCAGAACTCGAATGCTTTCTCTGAGCCGTGGCTTTCCAGCCCATTGGGTCTTGGAGGCCCAAGGGTCTTGTAAAGGCTGGGAAGATTAAATTAACCAAAGGAAGCAAAATTGGCTTTAGGTCTGCACAGCACCCAGCCCCGATGGTGGAGCCCTTGGTAATCCCTGTGTCTTTTTCTGCTCCCAAATAATTTTCCCATTTTCCTTGATTCGGACCCCTGAGTGTTTTGGCAGTGAATAAAAGTGTCTTGTTTCCTATAGCATTTGTCATGACAGAGCTATAGATCTGTAAGGAGTGAGAGTTGGTCAGGTGCTCAGCTTTGCAGGGATGATCTTTTAGTTTAGCCCTGGATAGAGACTGCAGAAGTTTTCTGACAGTTCTTGCCCTGTGCATGTCCTTGCAGAATGATTTGAGCTGTATGGTACAGGTAAGGAAGCAGACAATAAACTCTCCTTTCTGACTTAGTCTAAAGATTATGGACAGGAATAATTCATGATAATAACACTGTGTATAAACACCATACAGCCTTAGCCTCAGTAGAATTTCTTAGTGCTTCTTAGACCCCTTTTTCATGAGTCTTTTTCACTGTGTCATGCCAGGTCCCAGTCTGATTTGACAATTTTTGGGAAAAAAATTAATTAATTTCCCAGTGATACAAGTTTTCCTCTTCAATTTGTTTTCAGGGCTCTTAGAGGCAATAGTGTGGAGGTGAGGTTTGTAGTGTCCTTAGCAAGGAGGTTGTATCCAGACTAATTCTCATCTGCTCTGAGATTGGTGGCTATGCCTGAGCAATTACAGGATTGTTCCCCATAGCCTTTACTGTGGAAAAGAGAGATTTTTTTTCTGAGTGTGGGTAATCTCTGAGAATACAAAGCCAGAGAGGAAGAAGGATCAGAGTTTTGGCTTCTGAGATTTTTTAGAATTGCTAGACCTGCATTTCTTGAAGGTTGATAAGCCTAGATTTTTCACAGATCTGCTCTCTTTTTGAATATCAGTCATTTGAGGACAATTTCACTATCAGTGGTGCAGAGGCCTTCTCTGCATCTCCTGACTATCTGTAGCAGCCTTTTCATACCTTTCTATCTCCTTGATTCTATTTCTAAACCCTAACAGAGAAAAAACATGTTCTTCCTTTTGCATTAAGCTAAAAATCTTGTTTTTCTGCTGTGTTTAATGTAGGACTAAACTGTTAAATACAATTTGTATAAACGATGCTGTGTAAATTAAAGATAGTATAATTATGGTTATTTTGTCAGCACTGCAATGAAAGTGCAGCTCTCTGGGTGTAATTGCATTGTGTGGGTGTGTGTTTTGGCTTTGTTTTCAAATTCCTGCTTTGATATTGCTACAGTGAGATGTAACCTGGGGTGTGCATTACTGCAGGTATTGCACAGTGGAAGGGATTAGAGAAATCCAGTGCCAAAAATGGACTGTTGGGCTCAGAACTATTTTTATGGGCTTATATATGCTAGGGATTTCATATTTGCTGTTGTGTTATTACATCTGTAAAGGCACCCATGGCTGGTTTGGTTGCATAAGTGTTGCAGAGGACATTTCTGAGCTTTGCAATGGCTTTTGTGGTGCTGCAGTGCTGTGCTCGAGTGTGCAGTGCACAGGCTGTACCTGCACAGAACACCCAGCAGATGTGAATGTGACATTGCTAAAAACATCAAAGTGGAACTCAGAGCCCCAGTTTTAACACTGTTCTTTCTCCCTTTGTTTCAGCGCTTTCTCAACACGTTTATCATCTGCTCAGGGGAAACAAACAGCTCTTTGATGTCCAATATAATAAAGAATCAAGAATGCTTTAAGTAGATGTGGTGGTTTGTCTTGTGGAAAGAGTGGTTCTCCTCTTTCTTCCTTACATGATCTTTGTGTTTCCCTCCTGCAGCAGATTTTTCAGACAGTAACACTGAACATATGCTTCAAGGATGTCTCTCTCTCTCATAATAAAATGGGGTGGCCAGGAGTACACGATAACCTCTCTGTCAGAAGAAGACACAGTGTTGGACCTGAAACAGTCTCTGAAGGGCCTCACTGGAGTGTTACCAGAGCGTCAGAAACTGCTTGGGCTTAAAATGAAGGGTAACTCTCCTTCTTTACTGCTCTTGGGGATGTGCCTGAGGTGTTTAAGGACAAGCATCCCCTAATCCTAGGCACGATGTGTGCACTAACAGAGCATGCACTTCCCAGTTGTAGCTCTGGAATGAACATTAATACAGATACTTCCTACATCACTGAATATTGTTTATTATTAATAAACAATATTCATCTATCTGGTCATTTTTTAGTGCTTCACACTGCCCTGTCTTAGTGGGAAGGAGAATTGGGGGCAAAAAAGTAAACCTCATGGGCTGAGAAAGAGTTCCATGACTGAAAGATAATAAAATAGTACATAATACTAATTATTATAATAACAGTAATGAAAAGAGGAGAAAGAGGCCTAAAACCCAAGAGAAACCAGTGCCACAATGCAGTTGCTCACCACCCACTGACCAATGCCCATCCAGTCCCTGAGCAGCAGTCGGTGTCTCCCAGCCAATTCCCCCCTGTTCATACTCTGGGCATGAGGTTCTGTGCTGTGGAATATCCCTTTGCCCACTTCCCCCAGCTCCTTGTGCACCTGCTCACTGTCAGAGCACAGGAAACTGAAAAGTCCTTGATTTAGAGCAAGCACTGCTTGGCACCAACTAAACCATTGGTGTGCCATCAACATTATTATCAAATCAAACCCAAAACACAGCACTGCAGCAGTTACCATGAAGAAAATCAACTCAGTCCCAGCCAAAACCAAGACACTGTATGTGGAAGATTATGATAACACAGCTTGGCATAGCTCATATTTTACAGGAAGCTTATTTCACATGGAATGTATTGACATTTTTCTGAAATCTTTACCTCAATTAAAAAAAAAATCTGCATTACAGGCAAACCTGCAGATGATGATGTTAAGCTTGGAGCCCTCAAGTTGAAACCAAATACTAAGATAATGATGATGGGCACTCGTGAAGAGAGTTTGGTAAATAATTTGCTTGTTTATTGGTTAAACAGGAAAAAATGCTTCGTGTCTCCTAACTGTGATTTTAAATTTTGACTATTCCAGTCATCATTTTATAAAATGATAGTATAATAGATTCCTGTTGGCATTTTTAGTGTAAAATAAACTTTGCTGCAGACTCTCAGAGCAATGTACTTATGAAACTCCTGTGGTGTTCTGTACTTGAAGTACAAACCTATTATTGTGATATTGACTTCTTAAATCTGAACAGTCATCAGTATACTTAAATAATGCTTTCTACTAGTAAAATGAAACAATTTTGGTTAAATAGTATTCCTGCCTTGCAATGTGCAGTAACAGAAACTTGATATCCATTGTTATTTTTCCTCTCTGATCGTTGTTATCTTTTATTATTTTTATTCCTCTAGGAAGATGTCCTTGGGCCGCCTCCAGATAATGATGATGTGGTCAATGACTTTGATATTGAAGAGGAAGTTGTGGAAGTAGAAAACAGGTTAGGAGTTCAAGCTGTTAAAACAGTTTGTTATTGACTGTAGAAAGTACATTTTAATTAACTGTAACTTTTTGCACTGTTACATCAGGGAAGAAAATCTACTAAAAATTTCCCGTAGAGTTAAAGAATACAAAGTGGAAATTCTGAATCCTCCTAGAGAAGGAAAAAAGCTGCTGGTGCTAGATGTTGATTATACACTATTTGGTGAGTTTTTATGCAATTTTTGGGTTTTGTTTGTTTGACAACTCAATTTATTTGCCAGATCAGGTTTCTTGATTTTTGCTTTGGTGTGTTGTACAACATGACTTCTGCTTTGTATGATTTTGTGGTCTTTTGTTCACATTTTAAAAAGCATTTTAAAATGTTGCATGTTGTTGATTTTAGTGCAGCAGTTATTTAATTGCTGCAAAAAGCAGCAATTTAGTCTTCTCTGCTGATAGTCTTTCCCTTGACACCTTGTATCTTGACCATCACAGTAGCTTGGCAAGATGCTGTAAAATAATGATCCCATTCTGTACCTGATTGACTCTACTCTGGGGGGGGGAGTGTGGGAGAACAGCTTCAAATTTTATTTACATACCATTCACAAAAACATGTTTTACTTGAAAATTCTGCCAAGCTGGTTTTTTTTGAAAGCCAGAATTTTCCTTCTAACTGAACTTTCTAGTTTGTAGGTGTGCCATGGCAGCATGACTGTGAGGAGTAAATAATACCTTCCCTTTTCCTTAGTTTTCCTTTTTGATGACTTTTGTTTCCAATCTGACTTTAAAATTCAGCCTATTTCTAAGCTTAAAATTTTTATTGAGAGGTCTTCTGCTGGCAGATTTTACAGCAGTTTTGGATTTGGAGCAGGAATGTTTGCATCTCTGAAATGAGCTTGATGTATGTTCACGCAATTAACTGGACTAGGGTTGAAGGAATCTGTTTCATATCTGGCCAGTTACTAATTTGTTAAGTGCACAGATGATTTGCCCTGACTCTTCAAAGATATTCATACTCAGAGATCTCTTGATTTAATTATTGCTAAGCCCTCGAGTAGCTGTGAGACCAACAGATAAATATTCCCTCTGCTTTGTCTTTCCACCTTTAAAATGGGCATGGGAGTTTGATATCAAATCATTCATGACCTTGAAGTGCTTCAGTGCTCCCCTCATGAAACTCTTTGAGTCTCTGGATAGAAAGGAAAATCAGACTGGGCTTTAATAGCTAATACTTTAATACTGAATTGTTTATCTCTTGTATTCTGTTTAGACCACAGGTCATGTGCTGAAACTGGGGTAGAGCTGATGAGGCCATACCTTCATGAATTCCTGACTTCTGCATATGAGGACTATGATATTGTAATTTGGTGTAAGTATTATACTCTGTGCCTAAGAATTTATTGTAAATTGTCATCCAGAGCAGGGACTCCAGGTGGGAGGTTTTTATATTGCTTTTTAGTGTGAGTCACAAGATCTAAAATGATACAGAAACGTTTGGCTGTAATTTGCACAACTATTAGAGATATTTTAGAAAAATACCAATTCTTATGTGAAAAAGCCCCATATACTGCTCACAAGAATGGGTCTAGTCACAAGATAAAGCTCAGCATCACTTTACTGACTGTTACTTTGTACAAAGAAACAGAACTCTATAATCAACATTAGAACATTGCTTCATAGTGATTTTACAAATAATCTCAATGCAGACAACACATAGTGAGCTGCCAAATGACCCAAACTCTCCTGTCTGCAGGGGTGGTTGCTTGATTCTTTGCATTCTAGTTCAATTCCTGTCCAACAGCTGGAGAACAGACTTTAGCCAGTGCAGGGTTCAAACCATATTAAAATTGTGTGACAAAATTCCATTTTCATAGTCTTGAACAATGTTTCTCCGTGTTCTTAGACCAGCAGGCAGTTTGATACTTTGTTCTTTCCAAATTTTATGTATTCCTATCATTGCTTCCAGGAGGAAATCCTGCACAGGCAGTGAGGTTGCTCAAGCCAGGTGTATCCATGGTCTTACAGGCCGTGGTTCAGTAACAGCTGATCTAGAAAATGGTATAAATATTTGCAGTGCTTCATCTAGTTGTTCATTTGAAAAGTAAGCTTTTCCAAACAAAAATAGGCTTCCCTGATAAAAGACTTTCTTTAAGACCCTAAAAGTTGCAACAAAAGTGGATCTATCTAAAATTAAATTTTGTGTAAAAATTTGACATATTGAGTGAACAAGTTCTTAGCTTATTTCTTTTTTTTTGCCTGCCAATGACTTATTTTGATAAAGTATTCTTTCTGTTTTCTCCCTTTTGTTTCAGCTGCTACTAATATGAAGTGGATTGAAGCCAAAATGAAAGTAAGTTGCTCTGAAAACATCTGATTTGTTTCTGGTCTGGGTAACCATTCATGCACTTGTGCTTATGCTCAGCATTGTAGAGCAGGTTAGAAAAAGGGGAGGTTGTATGAATCATAACCTGAGTTGTTTCAATTTCCATAGTCACTTGAAATTATCTTGATCACAAAACTAGATTGAATCTAATTTTAGAATTCCACACAAACTATCAGCAGTAGGTGTTAAATTTAGCAGAACTAAACACAAGTCAGTACCTGCTGAAACTTGGATTTGTCACGCAGCCCTGCACAGTTGCTTTCATCTTACCTCTAATTATAGAGCTCCAGTCTTTAAATGTGATTTTTTTTAAAGGAACAGACAGATGTGACATGCTGGAGTAGGTTATCAAGAGGAAACTCTTCTCATATTTATCTTTACCTCTTGCAGCTGGGGATTCTGTTGCTTCCTCTGCCTTATTAAACATCCCATAAGAGCTCTTTCATTTTCTGGTTTCTTCCCCACTGGAATCAGGCAGGAAGCCAGTTTTGAACAGCTGACCTCATGGTAAACATATTTACAGTCAGGCTTAGCTGTGAATCTAATGAGCTTACTAAGAATTGCTGTGTGTTTGGTTGGTGGGTTAGGGGTTTTTTTATGCTTAAAAATCAAAAGTTATTTCCATTCCAGGAAAAACCTTTCCAAATTTAAGCTTTTACTATGCACTGTTTTTCAGGCTTTCACAGAGCAAAACACATTTTTGCAGTGTTCTCTTCCTCAAAATAATTAATTGCCACCACCTTTTCTAAACAAAAATGCCTCTTAGAAATGAGATTCTTTAGTCAGAACTGTGGAGTGGAGTTAGTGCAAGTAAAATCAGTGCTGAGCCTTGCAAACATTGCATTCTTGTGTCACGTATTTATCCTGTGTTGTCACAGTAGTGCTAGGACTCAGTCTTGTGAAAAATCATTGTTCAAAACTGGGTTCTTCCCCCTGCACTGGTCACCTTTCTGCATTTCCAGGTTGCTTTTCCAACCCTCCTCCTGAGCCCTGATCCACTGAGATTCCTGCCACTAGATGCCACTTTCTGTTTCTCCTTAAACTGATGGCACCAGGGGTGCTTCCCTAGCAGAGTTTCACTTTTGGTCAGGGAGCTGTGATTCCAGCAATAGTTGGCATTACAGTTTCTGGTTTAAAATACAAAGTAGGAACAGCATTTAAAAGAAGGGAGTATCAGACAAGTAAATTTAATCTCTCAGTTACCACCCTTTTATGCCTGAAATTCAAACATTCTAGAGCAGCTGGTTCTGTCAGTGTAACAGGATACTGACCCAGGGAGGTAGAGCATTTCATTTGCAAGATTGCATTTTTAAATAAAAGCAAATCAGGTAAGTGTGGCTGGATAGTTGCAGAAGAGCTGCTGCAGTGGGTATTTTCTCCCTGTTACACAGGTTTGCATATTGCTGCTGTTTCACACACCAGAAGTTGTCAGCAATATCTGTGTTGCACCATATCAGCAGATTTTACTGGTACTTTTCAGCTTTGGAAAGGATTTGAAATAGAAATGATGCTCCCTCATCTAATCTTAAGTTTTTTTTATTTCTAGAAAGGTTATTTTACTTGGAGTGTTTTCAGGAGTTACCAAATCTTAAAAGTGCAAATTGACACTAATACTGGTTATCTTGGACATGTGCAGGAGGGAGCAGTGACAGTGAGATGTTCCTGGGTATTCCATCTTGGATTAGGCTGTGATTTGTGCAAATCACTGTGAGGAACAAAGAGCAGCCAGAACATAATTGCTGGAAGGTTAAGTTGAGGTGTGGAGAACTTGTGAGTGGCTGTGCATGAAGGTTTGAGCAAAACCTCTCTGTATTTTGGCTTCTCTGCAAAGTTGCTTTGATTTTCTGCCAGCATCAGCTGTTAAGTTCCTGATATTAAACACTAAAAATAAATCCCTGTGTGCACTTTTATGATCCCCATTATGTAACAAATGCAAATTTCCCCAGGTATCTATTTTTAGTGTGTCTCTGATAAACCTCCACAGCTCACCCCGTGACAAACAATCTACTATAATTGTGGTTCCAGTTGTCGAGCAGTAAAACTGCCATAATTAGAAGCTTTAATCATAAATCTTTGTGATGCAGGAGCTTGGGGTGAGTACCAATGCAAACTACAAGATCACTTTCATGCTGGACAGTGCTGCCATGATAACAGTGCACACTCCTCGGAGAGGACTAATAGATGTAAGTACCAATTTTTATCCTAATCTTGTTCTACATTCAGCTGGCATTTTATCCCACCCCTTTAAAATACTCAACAAAAAAAAAAGTTGTTCAGGAATTTTCATGCAATAAAACTGCAAGAATCTTGGAACCACAGGTTTTTTTTACTGGAAGTCTCTATTCATGTTTTGAGTGATATCTTTAGATTTCACAGCTTTCAAACCAAACAGTAGGTGAATGTTGCAAGAAAACTTAGTGCCAACAGAAAGGTTTTCCTTAGTGGAGGGTATTTATATTATTTCACATCTTCCTTTGTTAAAGCCAAACTACTTGCTAATGGTAAAGCAAAAGAATACAAGTATTCATTCAAGTTAGGGCTCAGGTTCCTGTAGATGGCATTTTCATGTCCTGCACGTGATCTGATTTACCTGAGATACCTTGTATTGTGTTGTGTTTGCAGGTGAAGCCTCTTGGTGTTATCTGGGGAAAGTTTTCAGAATATTACAGCAAAAAAAATACTATTATGTTTGATGATATTGGCCGAAACTTCCTGATGAACCCACAGAATGGACTCAAGGTAATGGAAACTGGAATTTTCATTTACTGCTACTTTTTCTTGATACTTCAAGTAGTACTTTCTCCTACTTCTTTGCTGCAGCATAAAGAAAGACTATTTTTAACTAGCAATGATGCATGTTTTGTTAAATCTGTTAATTCACAGTGCCATTTGTCTGGCTTAGTATTTCCCTAATAACAGTATTAAATAAACCTTGTGTCACTATTAAGTGTTTAATAGATTACCAAAATCAATGAAATTCTTATTTCTGCCTAAGTTATAGCTGCAAGCTGTAATCAAGCTGGGCATTGCTGACAGGCACCATTGAAAATGTGTTGTTCAATCTCCAGAGTGGTCATATTCAAAAATAAGTCAAATAACAAATGGCTGTACTTCATGATAGTATGATAGGATAATCACAAGTATTCTATATGAGACATAATTAGTACTTTGAGCCACTTTAACTATAGAACAGAAAATATTTCATTTTATACAACTGTCAACCAGTGTGTGCTCTGTAATTACTGCTGGTTCTGAATAAGAGTGCAGCTTAAATTTCTACATACAGTAGCAGTAAAACAACTTGCATAAATCTCCCTAAAAAAGAAAAAGATGCTTTAAAATGCAGAAGTTCAAGATGGTATCTCTTTGAAAGTATCCACAATGTGAAGAGAAGAGCAGCTGATGAGATCTAACAAGATTATCTTAACTGGAAGGAGAATCAGGAATAGCAAAGATCTTGCTGGAAGGGGATTATCCAGAGGTCCCTTTAGCTCAGATTGGAAAAATGTTTGTGAAAGTGTTGTTAACAGCTGCAGACAAGAGCACTGAATCACTAAAACAAGGCCCAGGTATTCCAAGCTTTGCTTCTGATACCTTATTTCACAACAGCTCTGGTTGTAGCCAAAGGCTTTTTGCTGAAAAAAATCTGGTTCCAATGATACCACACAACTCACAATGCTGAGCTGAAAACCCCTCCTGCAAAAATCTCTGTGAAATCAATTTTAAATGTGGTACTCCATTCCAGATCATTTTATCAGTGTGTCTGAGGGGGAAGGCTTGAAGAAGTGTAAGGGAAAATAATTTTTTTCTGGTTGGTGCAAGGTAAAAACTCCTCAGTCCAGTTTGCATGAACAGGACAAATTGGATCTGACCACTACTGGAAAAGGGTTTTTTTCCTCTTCCCTGTTAAAAGGTATAACTTGTCATAGTACTGAAAATATATTTTAGTCAGGTGGTAAGTGATAGAGAATCTAAATCATTTTTTCCTTCTGTGAGCAAATGGTTATACCCAGTTTCTCTCTTTTGTATAGATAAGGCCTTTTATGAAAGCACATTTAAATCGGGATAAAGACAAGGAGCTTCTAAAGCTCACCCAGTACCTCAAAGAAATAGCAAAATTAGATGACTTTTTGGAGCTGAATCACAAACATTGGGAAAGGTAAGAAAAAAGGCAAAATTCTTGCTTCCTTCTGTCCCTGACCCCGGTGTTTTGTTTGAGGTTATCTCTACAAACATCAGAAACAGTGGAACTGATGAACTTTATAACTTGCAGTTACAAAGGTCCTTTAGTTTGAGGAGAATTTTAATAGGGCTACATTTGTAGTGTTGGGATAGCTTCCCTAAAATGATAAGATTTTGACAGAATGCATCTGTGTTTTCCTACTACTCCAGTATTCAGCACTGCCAATTATGCATCCTAAAAGGAAGAGAATTTTGAAGGAACGTGGTCCCTGCAAACCTCTTTCTTTCCACCCCAGCAAAGTTAGACTGTGGGTTCAGATCCCAAATCCTTTGTTTTAAGGCAATGTTTCTAGAAGTTCCTTGAAAGCTTTGTTGTGTTAGTGTAGTTCTTAGGCACATCCAGGTGGGGTGGTATTGCAGGATTCATCAGCTCCAAGTAACTGTCTTACAAGCAAAAGCAAACTGGGAGTTTTCCAAGTGCATCAGTTAGCATCCTAATTCTTGCTAGAAAGTGATTAACTGAAGGGCTTCAGCAAAATTATTCTTGGTTTTATGCAACAGCCAGAGAGTTCAATGCATGTGAAGAAAAACTGTTGGAAAACCACTCCTTTGGTGTTTAAAGAAATGGAGCCTTACAGGCTTGATACAATTTTTCTTTTCTGAATAGAACAGAAAGTGAAATGTTAAACCTTAAAAGCAGTGAAATTCACTGGATATTTCACACTGTCAGTGAAATTGGTTGGATTCTTTCTCCTAGAGTACTTGCAAAGCCTTTCTCACACCACACAGGCAGATTGCTCCAGCTCTGGTGCCAAGAGAGCTGTGAGATCAGAATACAGAAAGCAGTTCAGAGTCACTCAGCTTCTCCAGAGAAGCTGCTGGAGGGCTGTTCTTTTCAGGTTGTGCTGCATCAGTTCATTAAAGTCCTGAATTTATTTGAAGGAGTGCCATTACTAATGGGCCTTTTCATCTTAAAGGATATAAAAGCCACTTCTGCAACTGATGTAATTTTCCATCCTCTTAGCATGAAACAGGTTTCCATTTCCTTCCTCCCTTTTGTTTAAAAAGCCTGATAGAGTCTAACTAGAACATGACTTTGAATTACCGCAAGATAACCTATCGTGGAATTGAAAGATGTTAAAATTAAATAAAAATCATAAGTGCTATTGATTGATTGCATTTCTAATTTTTGGTTATCAGTAGAAGGATTGTTGGTGAGAAAAGAAAGCAGAGTCATACTTTGATCTTAAGATCTCAGGTATATTTGTGGCCACCTCTTACTTGGTGAAAAACTCTACTTTTGTTTCTTTCAGGTATCTCTCAAAGAAGCAAGGACAATAACACTAATAAAACTGTGTGGCACTGAATGGAAGGGAACATCACTAAGATCATTGGACTTTTCCTTGCTTTTGTGCTAGAGTATAATAGTGCTGGACACTGGACCCAATGCCAGAACGACTGCTAAACTTGGTCTTCCAGCTGGTTGGTTGTGGGTTTTTTAAAAGATCACAGCAATAAGCTCAAAGTGGGAGAAACAAGTCAGTTGCTTTTTCTTGCATTCAGTTCTGGTGTTACTTCTCAAAATACTTTCCTCTCCTTTGCTGCTGAAGTATAACCATAACCATCAAAGACCAAAACCATTCTGAGACTAGAAAAAAAAATATTTAGACCAAAAATGTTGATTAAAAAGCCAACCTTGGCAGTGTATGAATTGTATAAGTCCTCTATTCCCTCCATCTTTAGAAACAGTCTCCCTCTCCCATTCCAGTATTTAAGTCTATAAATTACAAGTTGTCTAAGTTTGGTATGTATTAGTATGTCAGTGTTTCTCTGTGCAAGACAGTAAGATGGGAAAGTACCACCTCTGTGGCCAGTTTACCCCAGTGTGTGAACTTGTACTATAAAGCAGTGTTTACTGGAAAACAAAAGATTGAAACTTGAGGGAGAGAAACCCACTGTTACTTGATCAGTGAAAAGCAGTCTGCCTGAAAAATCCCCACATCTCAGATAAAGGGTTTAAACCTCAGATGGGAAAGTCACATTCCTAACAAAGCATGAACAAAACCCTTGTTCTCTTCTAGCTAAATCTTGTCAAAGTGCAAACACTGTGTTTAAATACAATATTCAGCCATACTGTTCTTAAAATATCATTTACTTGCGCTGCTTATGCCTGCACTATAGAAGTGTGATGTGACTGCTGTTTGGCATTTCCAACACTTGTGCATTATGCAGTTCATGGATTTGAAAGAAGACTGACCCTTTCAAATAAAAAATGGTATATATTGTTCTTAAGGAACTATAGCAGTTGTGTAAATAATAAATACCTTTTTCATACTTTGTGTCCTGTGCTGCCTTCAGTATTTAGCTTGCATCAGGAACCATCAATAATATTAATTTGGGGGGGATTGGAGGATTTGTTTGGATTTCAAAGACACCCGGTTTGCATCAGGAGTTGAGTAAGAGCCTGGTTTGTGCCTCTGTGGATTAGGGACGTGGTGTAGCACCAGGCTGGCCAGGAAAGGAGCCCTGACAGCTCATGTCAGGCTGCCAGGACAGCAGGCACAGATGAGCACGCAAGGCTCCAGCTCAGTGACCTGTCAGAAAACATCCAGGTCCTTGTTCATGGCTCTGTGTGCTTTAGTGCCAACCCCAGGTGCCTTTGACAGAGCAAACCAGAAACCTGGTGCATAAAAGTGGTGCTGTAGGTAAGTGTGGAGGGGGAAGAGCTGCAGTTTTGTCTCTAGAGCTGATTTCTGATCAAGGAGCTGAGCCCTGTACAGACAGCACAGGGAGAATCCCTGAGCTTACACCAGTGATCCTTGCCTGGAAAAGCTGCAGCAGCAGAGATCATGGAACTGGGGTGTGGTGCACTGGAATTCCTTTGACTTTGAACACTGGAAAGAAGTCAAGGCATTGCAGTTAAATCAGCTGTGGAGTTTGTGCTGGGCAAAGAGAGAAAACCAAAACAAGGGAATATATTTAAACATGTGCCTGCATTTTTTTCCTCAAAGTTGGCCTGCAAACAGAAGGTTACAGTGAATGAGCAATACTCATTTCTTTTGCTTTATACAAGCAAAGTTTAAAAAATCAATCTTGATTTTATTTCAGTGACATGGGGGTTCTGTCCCAGAATTTGAGAGCATTCCCTGATCTGAAGGTGATGTGCACTCCTCTTTCAAATATTTTATAAGCTGAGCTGGAACATGCAAGTGTGATCTCAAAGTGATGGTAACACAGAGCTCTTGCTGACAAGTTGTTAGGTGTTTTATGACTAATATGATTTCCCTTACTATATTTTCTGTTTGGGGACTAGCCTTGCAGTTTGATTTGGTTATCGTCTAAAAATGCTGCTGGGATTTGCTTGGCTGAGATTTTTAAAATCGTGAAGCTGTGGATAAGGCAAGCACAAACCTGATGTTAAAATGACTACAAGAGTCAGGGGGCACTGATGGGAGAGTGGGTTAAAATGGTAAAAGCAGCAGGAATAAATCTGGATTTTGTTGCCATAGTTGGTTGTGGAGGCAGGAGGCATCAGCAGGTTCAGAAAAGAGTTCATCACCTTCATAGAAAAGTCCACAAGTGGAAGCTAAAGGGAATAGCACTAAAGGGAATAGGAAGGGCTAATAGCCTGCAATAAAAGAATTGGAGGTGCTCAGGAAGATGGGAGTGGGTCACAGAGAGCAGCACCTAAAATGTGGCTGTGCCAAACTCCCACAGTACCTACAGGGATAAATGGGTAGTTTAGCCCACAACAATGTATTTATTGCTCATAAATGCAGAGGAAAACACCTGTGCTGATTTTTTGTTTCTCCAATGGGGAAGGCAGTTTTGACCTACTTGTATTTTTCCAAAATGTAGTTAAGCCTGAGGAATAACTATGGACAGCAAAGTTTAAAGGTTTATTCCCTGCTAACATTTACTTTCCTTTTAGATGCTGTTGAGGTGCCTGAGAGGTATTTGATTAATGGCTTTCACTATCTCTATTAAAAGAAACAGTATTAAAGTATAATTAAGGAGAAGGAGCGTACAACTTAATTACAGAGCTCATAATTTACCATTCTGCAAAACTCTGGAGAAGCATTAAATGGAGTCTGAACTATTCCAAATATTTTCACGTGTCAGAGACTGTCTCAGGCTCCCAGTACACGTCAAACATTTTGTATTGTTGTTCTGTCTGATTATTCAGACCAGAAGAGACAGTCCATTTCAAAATGAAGTTATTTCAGTAAGCCCTGGATATCTGACAACTCCAATGCCTCACTGTGGCATGAATGCTCATCACTGGAGGTGCATGGAATGACAGCTGAAGCCAGGAACTGAACTGCAAATTCAGCCCCACAAATCCTGCTGCATGACTGTGAAATCTACAGCTACTTGCCAATTTTTATTCCTGACTTGACATTCAACTGACAGCAAGTGGATGCCAAAGGGTTTAAGACAATTTTCCACTCTGTCTGTTCAGATGTATTTAAGGCTGATGTGAGAAGTGCTGAATTCTTGCTCCCAATTAGACCAAGGCCAGGTAAAAACTGTATTTCAGAGGGTGAAGAAAAGCACACAGTTTTGCCCATTCATTAAAGCTGCTTAAAACAAGAAATGCTGGATGAAGAGGCAGAACCCTTGGACATTTCACTGTTGTCACCACAGCAGTTGTGGCAGGTACTGGTGGATTTTGGCAACAGCTGCACACAGCAAAGGGTGCCTGATGGAGTGCTTAGGCTGAGGGGGATTCACAGAGAAAAAAATCAGTGAAAAGAAAATGCTGAGGAAGAGAATAACAGCAGTAGATGAAAAAAATACTGCTCTATCCTGGAGAAGACAAGGGACATCTTGCAGGCATTACAACTTTCTTGTGTGAGCAATATTGGCAATGTCTTGTTAGCAGGGACTGGTGCTGATATCTGTGCTTTGAGTGGGCTCTGCACCAGCCAAGACATGCTCCAGATACAGCAGCCCCCAAGACTCAACAAGAGCTGCCTCATGATGGCAGGTGAACAGCTCTGCTTAGGTTTTCCTAAAAATGCTGGAAAACAGCTCTGAGGGCTCACAATGCCACCTTTGACTCTCCTGGCTTTATCTGCTGCACCACACCACTTTAGACATGTATTTCCAGCCCATCTCTATCATCCCCCATTATCCTTTGGATCACTGATAATCACACAAGGCCTCAATCTCATTCATGCATCAGCCCTTTTCTGATGGTGTTTTATAATAGAGAACTTCAAAATGAACTATTTATATACTGATGAGCTTCCTCATACAGCCCTGAGCTTCATTATTTATGCTTATTTAGGAAGTTTGCTCATCTCTGGAGATCCTTTGGTGCTGCTTTGAGCACTTGGATGCTCATTTAGCTCTCAGGAGTCTGTGCCCAGCTTGGCCTGTGTCCTTGCCACACACAGTCACATACAATGCCATGCCATTAATTTCTGTGTCTCTCCTGGCAAATGGTTTTCCCACCAATTCATTTTCTGTTAAGAATGGGTACAAGTCAAAGGGAGATTGTTCTCAAATTGCATAATGCTCAGAGCACTACAGCTGGGGTGCTGGGCACAGTAAAAAGTGCATCATTAACACCCCCTGAAAGTTTTTGTTGCATTGGTTTTTTATTCCTTTAAACTGCCTGGCTGGAATTGCACACCCACTCTGCTCACACCCCACCATTTGTCAAGGTGTTTATACCTCAGAAAAGAGCAGCTTTTATCATTTATCACAGCAGGGGCCAGCTTTGGCTGCAGCTCCTGCATGGAAGGGGACTGGGTGACCTGGAGCAGAGCCTGCATGGTCACTGCTGCTGAGTGATGTCCCCTCCTCCCCCTGCAACACCCCAGAAGACTTTGACCTTGGTGTTTTGAAACACTAAGATTGCATCAGATTTTTAGTGCTAAATATCTGTGGTGGTCAAGCATTTGGTATTCAACAGTGGCAGCCTTGTTCTTCACAATTTGTGCTGCTCTTGAGAGGAAAGCAAGTCAAACTCAGGACCAGGGCATCAAAGAAGTCAGAGTTTACTATAAATTCCTGAGTCAATTCTCTCAGCCTTCAGATCTGATTGGGCTTTTCCCCTCCAGCCTGTTCTGCTTGCTGCAAGATCAGCCCCTGGATTTTGAGTTGGGTCTGTCTCACTCCTCCCAGAGCACAGAGTGCAGGGCCAGACAGCTGGGCATGAATGATGCTTCACAGCCTGGTCCATAAACTTGTTTAAATTGTTTCACATTGGAGGAAAATGGTCACAGATGGATAAAAAAAAAATGGGTGTCAGTGCTGAGCTCGTTCAACAGTTCTGCTTCTGAGCATGTTCTTATTACAGTAAAACTGTGGGGAAAATCCTCCTTCCCAGCTTTGTTTTTTTCCAATGCTCTATGATTTTTTTTCCCCTCACTTCTTAAAAGTTTCTTGGAGTGGGTGTGTTGAATCTTTGAATCTCTATTTCATTGGCCCAGTGGGCTCCTGCTCCATGGCAGGCACTGTGCTGTGGCATGGGAATGACTCAGGGGCTGGAGGAGCTTTGTGCCTGATGGATGAGCTTCAAGCCCAGAGCTCCACTGGTGAACACCCAAATTCACCCCCCTCAGGTGTTTCCCACCCCCAGCTTGGGTCACACTCAAAAAACAAATGGTGGCACAGTAAGAATACTGTAAATTTGACAAATTCTAGTAAAACTTTCTAAGACACCCTGGTTCCTCGGGCAAGATGAGGTGGCTCTAGAACTCTATTTTGCAAAACTTACGATTGTTTATCCAATTTTCTATATTCAGTTCACATTTCATGACACACAGGGGTGTGTGTGTGACATTTGTGAGCAGTGAAAGCTGCATCAGTTTAGTGGAGGAACATGAGCAGAATTTCAAGCAGACACTTAAACTGCAACTGATGCACTTTTGGGTCCCTCTGCTGTCCTAATGATGGATATTTCTTGAATCAGGACCAAAATGAGCACATTTTTGGAAAAGTTAAGTGTATTAAAGTGCCTCAGAGGTGAAAATGATAAAGTGATGTGGGATTTTTTTTAATCTGATTAATCCCTTACAGATGTGACTAGACAGAACAGGTATGTAGCAAAGTCTTTTTCCATAACAAATGGTACTAAATTAAAACCAAAATTATTTGTGTCTAACCCTTGAAGGAAATTCTGAGCTTCAGATACAGAGGGCTTGTAATTACACCTAGGCAATATCTCCACTCCCACAAATAGTAAATTAGCTGTGATAAACACATTCAGAAGCTGTTAAGCTATTTTGGTTTGATTTAGTGAGTAGCTGCTGCTGGAAGACAGCAGGTAAACAATTGAAATTTCTGACTTCTTTAAACAGAATCAAAATATTGTGTTTTGT